GGCCGTCCAGCCGCTCGCGTACTCGCAGCTGGCTGCACCTGGGGGAAGCAATGAACCTTCCCTCTGCAATTTCACAGGCTGACAGACACGCTCAGGGCCACCAAAGGGCTGGGGTGCCGCAAGGACAAGCACACCGTCACCCGCCAGCCAAGCTACAGCAACAGACGGCTCCCCCTCCCCTCCTGCTTATCCGACTCCGGGGTCTTCCGCGCCAGCCTGAGGCAGAGCGGAGAGCAGCTACGGACAGGGACAAGCTGCCCACGCCTCAACCGCGACCCTCGGGGGGACCCGACACCCAGGAGAGGTAAACAGGTATTGGTTTTTCAACGCCAAGCCGCAGGGAGTGCCGTGACGGGTCAGAAAAACGCCACCTCCTTCACTCCCGTTAAATCACCATCTGCTGGAGTAAGAAACACTCGAGTCGCATCCAAGAACGCGGTCGAGAAAACAAAGGCAGAGGTAACGGTAATGGAACAGCTTGTCTCATTCCGGGCAGCACAGCGCCAAACAAAGTGACCAGAAACACCTGGTTTCGGCTGGGACGCCATCATCGACTCAAGAGGCTGCAGGATCCATCAACAGCTCTACGATGAGACGCTGAGGTTCAGAAACCTCGTGCATCGCCGGGGGCCACAGAGGGGTGACGGCAGAGCTCCCACCGAACCCAGCTCCCCCAGGGACCAGCAAGATGGGCCTTCCTCAACCCCGAAGCAACACACGGCGTCCGATTCGGGTACAGACGGGCAGGAGGGAAACGCCGTCAAACCCGCGGCGTTCCAGAAGCAGCTCCAAAAGAGCGCCCGTCAATCAGCTGCGGGACGCTCAGCTGAGAGGCAGGAAAACATCCGCCGCTTTCTGAAAGGAACCGCCCGCCCGGAGCGGTTCCCCCGTCCCCGAAGTGGCAATCGGAGCGCTGCCCCTGACAAACGGACGCAGTTAGGAGGAGCGCTTCGCGTTCACGTACGAACGGGGTGAAAATGACGAGACCTGCGGTCCCATGGCGGAGGGCTCTGCACAGGCTCAGGTACAAAGGCACAGGGCGAGGCCGGGAGCTTCAGCTGCGCGGGTTTTGGTTTTACAGCTCCGCCGCCGTGTTTTGCTCCGCCCCTGCCTCGGACGAGCATCAGTTAATTTCAGTGTGCCGTAAAACTCACCCCAGGGGTGTATCGCTGAGGCAGAACCACCTCAGAGCCCCAGTACCGAGGGAAATACGACGTCTGCAGCCAGGGCTGCAGCGGTGCTACAACGGCGCCTGACGCCTGTCCGCAGCAGGTAACGGGATCCCTGTGCTAACTCCTGTCAGTCGTTGCCCCTGACAGCGCCGTCACCCACGTGCGTGGGGCAGTTATCGGGGCACCCGCCCTGCTTCGGCGCCTTACACATCTCCCACAACTTAGGAGGGTACCCCAGACGACATCAAACTTCTGCATTTCCCTTACTCGACTGTCCCGTGCTGTGTTTCACAAAAAAGGGGATCCAAAATATTTTGCGCTCCTACTCCGGAGAGCCAAAGCGGTGTAAAACGGGAAAAAAAACGCGCGGCTGACCAGCAGGAAGAAGGATGAAGAGGGTGTAAAGCACCCAGCTCACAAATCACACTAGAAATAATGCCCTCTCTTCCCGGCCGCCTCGCCCCTCGGCTGAGTCTCTTACACCGCACACCTCAGTCACTCTGGCCGCACGTAGAAGATTTACTACTCCACTAACAAACACACAAGATGCGAGCTCATCCTGTGCAGAGGCAGCAGGTTCTGCGCCGCACAGTCGGTCTGCCTGCTGATAACATCCCCGGGCGTCTGCTGGCCGCAGAAATAAAACTTCTGTTAAGAAAAATAAAAACATATACGTCAACTCACGGCCCTCCCAGCACGAGAACCCTTGACGTGGCGGCAGAGGGCTCTGCCGGAAACAAGGCCCCCGCTGTGTTTCACCAAAAGCCCGGCAGCAAACGAAAGACGGAGGTGAACTTTAAACTGTAGGACAAGGACACGGGAGGGGAAGGGGCCAAGCACCCCGGTACTGCACCTCGCCGAAGATCCCCAGCCAAAGCTGGGCCAACAGACGGAGGCTGAGGGCAGGGAGGACAGAGAGCAAAGCCTGACGGGACGACGACTGCCCGGCAGTTTTCTGTAACTAGTCTGAGGCTCCCTGTTGGAAAACACGTAAATCTAGAAGATATTTCTGCTGTTTCAGGACTGTTGTCTCCTTATTTTATCTAACAGCGCTTTGCAGGAATTACTCTTGTGGGTTCCTTGGCCAAGGAGAGGAGAGTCACAGCGGCGCCACGAACACCGGACAGGCGCTGTCTGCGGGCAGACGCGGGGAACGCACAAGCACAGGGGGCAGAGAAGGCTGAGGGGGTGAGAGGAGCCGGCCAAGAGAGCAGGGAGGGTTTTTAGCGTGTGGAACAGTTCAAGACACAGCCACGCAGCCGGTTTGCAGCCGGGACGGGGTAGCTGGCGGTGCGTGCCCTTCCGCTCGGTCAAGCGCTACCTGCAGCGCTGGTTTAAAAAGAAAATCTCTCTCTCGGTGCGTTGCGGAAGCGTGCGCAGTGTCGGCGCTCTCTCGTCACTGGAAGACGGCTGTAAGATGCTCCGGCTGAACCGTTTGGGATCTCCTACCTGTGCGCCTCAGCCCTAAGGACAGTGACCGTCCCGGGCTGACATACCCATGTGGCAGCTCGTGACTAGCGCGCGCCGGGCCAAGCATTCAGGCAACGAGAACAGTTTAGGCACATTCTCGGGGGAAAAAAAAGGCTACAGGCTGCCTGGCCCGCTCCTTCTGGGGCTCTCCGGGCTCTGCGTGCACGCTCAGGCAGCAGGTCCTGCTCACCTGGACTCGTGCGGGTGTGGACACTCACTCTGCCATCCCCTGCTCCATATTCAGGTCAATTCCCCCGTCGGCAAGGCTGCCGTCTTCTGCGAAAGACGGCTTTGCCATGGAGTTCATGGACCGGTAGCTGGTACCATAGACCACCGAGCTGAAGACGAACGCGAGCTGCAACAAGGAAACAGCTTGTCA